CAGTGCTAAAAAAGTCCGAGTTTAAAGCTAAAACTGAAGAAAACTCTTTTCCGCACCCTCGTCGTCCATCCTCCTCCCCCGCCTCAGGTCCGGCTATAGCTAGTGCTTGCGAAAAGATAAACGAAGGCTCCGAAAACGTAATACAAATTGAACAAGGGGCAAGTACTAATTGCATGAAGTTCGAGATTGTCTGGCCTGGCATAGGTGCATCTCGCCTGTGCGAGCATTCTAGTAACATGTGATCCTCAGAAGATGGCCTTGGTATCCGTTCCGTTCCACATTTTGATTTTTTTGCACCGTCCACTTCTTTCAAGTTTTTTATTATCCGGCCTTCTAACGGTCACAATTTATTATTCATCGGCGGTATACTATTACTTTCCTCTGATCACTTACCCTTTGTGGGACGAAAATATCCAAGAATGTATGCCAAAAAAGAAAAATATCCAAGAATGTATGCAAAAAAAGAACAATCGTGCTGACTGGCTCGGAGGATGAGAGGCAGCAAAATGCATAAAGCGGATAAATGAATGGTACCCAAGCAATGTTAATAAATGACAAGGCGCACCAGACTAACTGATGCAATCATGCGTTTTGTGCAATTCAGCCCATCGAACGACTGCCTATTAATGATTTTCACTACTTTTTACTTTAGTCCATGCAAAAATAGTTCAAACATTGGAAAACAGTTAAAAATTTCACGCACCAGCGTATGAAAGTTGAATTCGAAACCTTGAAGGATGAATATCTTTCCGTAATTCCCGAGTTAATAGTTTATCCGCCAAATTTTCACGAGGCCGAAGGTGGTAACCGAGAGCGCAAGAACGCTGAATTTGAATGGGCAAGGTTGGGCGTGGGCAGGGGGTCATTACCCTAAAACTTCAGCCTTCTAGACTCCATGGTCCCGTGAAATTAACTTACCCGTAAAAAACTTTCACGGGGCCGTACGCGTTACCCGCGGGTAAGGGGAAGCTGAATTTTAATTTGCGGGTGGGTGGGGAACGTTCCCCTAAATTTCAGCTTCCTAGCTTTTGTCCGAGTTGAAAGTTGAGGACAAGTTGCTGCGGACACACACACACACACACACACACACACAAACACGCACACAGAGAACCCCGTGATAATATGCGTTTTATACTGCTGTTACACAGCACAAAACGCTTAAAAATTGGGCAAATGAACAGTATGGTGGAGAAATCCACCTGAGTACCAATGTAAAGTTATATGGTTGCGCGAAACACGAAGACATAAATGTAGAAGTTGTTAGTTTCATTAACAGTCAGAAAAAACACCGATATAAGTGACAATATAAGTAATTGTTGGAAAGAGCTGCATTACTGCTGGCAAAGTGCAGTGACATAATAATAAATGAAGTAAAATGAGGGCTGGAAGGAAGTGTATGACGCACGAAGGTGCATGAAAAGTGACTCATTAGTCGATATTAATGGAGAATGCAATTTTTAAGTTTCAAAATTGAGTATGCAGCTTTTCCAGGACTGGGAACAACATTTACGATCGCACTGGCTCAGAAAAGTTGAAACTTTTTTAAGGATGAAATTGAGGGTGATAACGATGATGATGACGATGATAATAATGATAGTGACGACTATGATGACGATAAAGATAGTGATGATGAAAGGGCCCACTGTTAGAACGGTTAGGGATATCGGATAGAAAATGCTGAGAATCTAACTGCCTGAAAACTATTCCACAAAACACCCCCCCCCCCCCCCCCCCCCCCCCCCCCCCCCCCCCC